AGATAAATCAACGTGGTGTCAACAAGTGAGAAAGAGACAAAGAGAAGCTGAAGTGAAAATAAACTGTGTAAAGAGGTTCAGTTTCTTTTCCTTTGCATATTTCATATATATATATTTTTTTATTCCCTGGCAGTGTTTTTTTTTTTTTTTTTTTTTTAAATGCAAAAATCGCGGCAGCGATTCGCGGGTCGCGACAAACGCAGATGCTAGGAAAATGGGGACATAGCTGAAAAGGGGTGGTTTTTTACCCGCTACGTAGAGCAAATCTATAGTGTGGATTTATCTAAAATGATTATCAGACAAATTCCTTTTGGCTTCCAAATGGTGAGTACGAATTTGAAACACCAAACGTCAGTGGGGAGAAAATATATATATATTTCAAAAACGTTATACTGTTTTGGTTTTTCTTTATCCCCCTGTAGTATCCCTCTCAGCCCGGGTTGGCCCTGACAGGCAGGGACGGAAGCCTGCTTCTTAAATGTTTTAAATTGTGTCGATGGGAGCGTAAAAAAACAACCCACCTACGTCATCATCGAAACTGTGTCTAAGTATTATGTTCTCTCAGCATCGTTTACTCACGCTGCTCTGTTCTGTAACATGAGTGCGAGGGTGTCTGGGTAAGTTTTGTGGGGTTGTCTCTACTCAAGGATGTACTGGAGAGAGAGAGAGAGAGAGAGAGAGAGAGAGAGAGAGAGAGAGAGAGAGAGAGAGAGATTGATTTTTATTTTTTATTATTATTAACAGAAAGAGGACTACGGCACAGATTGTCCTTGTACAGTTGCTCATTAATTGGACCAACACTTTAAAACAAAAGAACAAAAAAGTTTAAAAAACAACAAAAATAAAATAAAAGAAAGGAACGCAGAGGGTTCGAATCTAAAATAAGCAAAGGGTGATTCTGTTTATTTTACTCCCATGTGTACATTTTCAGTTCCAGTCTGTGGTGCGTTGCATGGCAGTGTGCCAGATCCTCCTTACTGAGATAAAGAGACGCCATATAGCCACGTCAGCAAGTTTTTTTTCTCCTAACGTCTGATAAAAGAAAGCCAGAAAGACAAGAAATCGCAGGAGGGAGGAAATTACAAACAAAACAGAGCAAGGTATCTGTGTCTCTGTGAGTCGTCTTCAAGATATTTGTGTCACGACTTGATGGAACCATGCGCTCGTCAATTTTTGGGAACAGACTTTTGTTATTGCCTAAGAGCCTATTTATTTGCCTTTCTTTTGGTAAGAAAAATTACTCACCTGTCTTGAATTAGAATCAAAGTCGAGGTATAATTTGCAATTGAAGGAGGTGGGCGCCGTCTGGTATTAGAGGTAGAAGTAGCGAGAAAATGGCGACTAAAGTTAGGCGACTTCAAAAGCTTTACAAGCTGTCCTTGGGAGCTGCAAATTTACCGTTTTTGTTTCTTTGATCAACATTTTTCAGTAAAAGTAACACAGATATGAGTTTTTAAATGGGCATAAAAAGGTGTTGAGCGCTCCTTGTTAAAAGTTACCCAACGGGTGGGAAATGTCTTGTTTGTTTTATTTGTTTTAGTAGAGGTTTTACGGCGTTCGCAACTGCATAAGGTCATATGAGCGCCAGAAGATTAGAGTTGTTACAAGAGAGTAACAAACATAAAAAAGAAAGAGGGGAGATAAGGACGATAGATGTTTGATAGGAAAGAAGAAGCAAACCACACCAGAGCACCTGCCAACCACCCACGGGAAATGTCTGTTTATTCGAATTGATTATTTTGACGAGCGTCTGATTTCACCACGAGGACATTTTTTTAATGTGTTCAATTAAAACTCGTATACGATACATTTTGTATGAGCTGGCTCACCCCTCTTCGCATTCGATTAAAAAAAAGTAATAGTAATAGTAGTTTCGCACTCCCATCGCAACAACCAAGGTTTCGAACCTACAAGTCTCAGCCTCCTGGGATGACAGCGAGAGGGATACAGCGTCTCGGCAGACAGGCAGATATATATATATATACTTGATAAAAACCCGCCCCACTCGCCACTAGAACTCACGACTTCAGCAAGCGAAGGTGAAACGCCAAAATCAAAGTACCACAGACGCCAGTTCAGTATTTGAGACAGGAACAAATAACTTCACTAGAAACGTTAACGTTATATATCTTATAACAATATTGTGCTAAGGAAACGATCCCTGGGTAGCGGCATGTCTTGTATTCAAGCAACAGGGACAAAGATTGTTAAAAACAACTACAAGGTAAACAAAACAATGTCTTAACAGCACTGATGGTGACAGCAAAGTTTTGCATAGACAGCTGAAGGCACTTTTTCATGGACTGATCGTCTGAGTTAAAGAGAAACATATCGTACACATCGGCACAATAACGGCCATTCAGTAAGGGGGGAAAAACCAAAACAGACAGACAGACAGACAGACAGACAGACAGACAGGAACAGCACAGGATAAGAGAAATAAGACTTATCATTGAGCAACAAAGACCTTCTTGTCCCTATCGTTAATAACCTGGGCAAGAAAATTCATCGTCCTGTGTAAACTAGTGCAGCTTGAAAACAAAATTTGAACACAAACAAAATATCACAATACAAGTGTGTGGAAAAAACAACAAAACATGGCATAAACTTAAGACACATAAGATATGATCATATTATCATCATGCGACTGTTTATTGTATGTTTGCACACTACATAATGTATAAACTACTTCTTCTTCGAAGCACATGGGCGGGTTCAATGAATATAATACATTGTATAATAAAATACATATGGGTGTGATTAACCCATAACAAAAACACAATGACATAAACTTTAGATACGGTACATAAATATGATTGTAATATAAACAACATGATCGGCATCAACCGTGACTTATTTTATAAAAAATGTCCAACTCGAATAAAAATAGGCCTTTCGAGAAAAGACAAAATTCGAAAAGTAATACTTTAAAAAAGTCCACTTTGAGGTGAGATCAAAGAAAAGTTCCTCAAGAACATTAAGCGTGCACTACTTGTAGGTAAAATAACTGTCATTGGTTTAATTAGGCAGGCTGTTTCGTCCTTGCTGTCGGGGCCAACTCGGGCCGAGAGGGATTTCAAAATTCCAGCAGAAAGACTGAGGAACTCGATATATATTAATGCCTCCCACTCTGGAATCGAACTTATGTCTTCAGCATACAACAGCAAAGTGCCTAACCATTTCACCACAGTGGCTCTGGTTAGAAAGCTTCTAATCTAGCTGACAGTTCTCCAGGCGCGATACAGACTAAAAGCAAAACGATGTTTTGGAACATATAGAAGTAGGGTGGGTATTTTTTGGCACCAATACGAATGTGAAAGTACATCACGTAAAAAATAGTACATATAACGCATTTGTAATATATATGGTATTGTAAAGGTTTTTTCCCACCCCAGTGTACGGAATTTTCATAATTTATTAGGTCATTGGCTGCACTGACCCTGTCTAAAAATCAGGCTAAACAGTGCTGTGTGGGTAATACTAAACAGAGAGACGAAACAGTCAAACCTGTTCTCAACGGTAATGAAATGGTATAGGTTTAACGCCTCTATCAACACTACTGTAATAAATAGAGACCTCTGAGTTTAACGTCCATCTCCGAAAGGACCGCGCAAAATGAGAAATTCATCATGTAAAAAGCTTTTCCCATAGACACAATGTCGGGCCAAGCTGAGGCTCGTACACCCGAACCCGCAATCTTACGATTACAATTACACGTCCGGTAGCCTAACCACTAGGCCACCAACACCACCACTTGTTCTCCAATTCAGAAGATCACCCACTGTCGAGGAGGAACGTCGTCATCTTACACAAGTGGTCTTCTTGGACAGTGTCATTAAAACAACAACAACAACAACAAATCCCAAAAACAAAATACACAGCGCTTGATGACAGGGTGGGGGTGGGTGGGAAGCAGTCGTTTGTAGAGATGATTGTGTTGGGCAGGTGATCATTAAAGCAGTTCGACGGTACTTGATCAATTAATGTCTTCCCTCCATGGGAATCTGACCAGCGTCTTTTATACGCAAGGCAAAGAGTGCAGGCCTAACCACAACACCACAGACACTCCTCAACATCTAAAGCTCACCATGCAAGGAGCTGTAAAGTGGGTTATCAAAAAAAAAAGATTCAAAGGGGAAAATCTTTTGATATAAAAAAATGGAATGTGTAATTCGTTGATCAAAAGGCAGCTCGTACCCAAAGAGAGTTTTAAAAAAAGAGTAAAAAACGTATTAAAATTACAGCAGATGATAAACTGAGCAGACAGCTTTCCTTGGGTCAAATAAAACATATTTCATCACATAATAATATAAAAAAACCCATTTAAATAATGATTGCATAATCCCTTCCTTTAAGAGGTACAGCTTACGATAATCTACCATTGAAATTTTATCAGAATTTGAAGTACATGTGTAATACAATAATGAACCTAAGCCTTAAGAATAGAAAAACTTTTGGAGCAGAATTTACTTTCAAATTTTAGAAAAACTGTTGGAATTGTATGTAAACAAGATGGGTATAAAACTGACATTCAGGGTACATATCAGGTTGACATAATATAGCGACGAAAATAACTTCGAGATGACTCCCTTGCGTTTGGCAATGCTTTCTTCTACTTTTACTTCCTTTAAGAAGAAATCTCAAAATAATCTGCATTTTGTTTTGGTAGGTGTTTTATGGCGCTCGCAACTAGTTAAGGTGATGTGAGCGGGCGGGACACATTACACATTTTTAGCTGGTAGGAAATTTTGAATTTTGACAGGAAGGCGGCCGAAGCCTCTCTTAGATCTTAATTTTTTAGATCACCAGGGGATCTTTAAAGTGCGCAATTTGCACACGGGCCCTCCGAGATTTTTCGCCCTTTTCCGAGAAGGCTAGGTGTTAGATCTTACCTGCCATACGATCAGGGGTGAGGCTGAAAGACAGCAGTAAGAGGGAGCTAAGGGGTAGCAGTAGAAAGGTTGTAGAAAGAGTCAGAAGCCCAAAGGAGGTGAGGAGGTGGAGGCAGAAAGTGGAGACGAATGCAGACGACAGAACAATTTTAGACAGCAGGAAAGGAGGTGAAAGGAGAAGATTTTAGAGAAAGAAAGTCCATCGTTATCCAGATTCGAACCCAGGACCTATTGAGTGAGAGGCAAACATAACCTCTCGACCATCCGTCAATCACACAACACATGTACCATTACAAGAACCATTCAGAGAATCAAAATTACGACACTCTGCCACTGAGCAAGTCTACCAAAAGTCCACAAGCTTGCAGACAGTCACTCATTATAGTGGGGTTGGTAAATACACCCCTGCATTTTCTTCTGCCATTGTTTGTCGATTGCTTCACTTTGTTCCTCACTCAGCCAGTTTCTCCAGTCACCGACTTTGCCTGAGGATGAAACACCGACAATTGAAAAAAAAGAAAGGAAAAGTGGGCGTTTTTAAGCCCACCATCGACACATTCTAGATTAGTTAGGAGGTGAGTTTCAACCATGTCTGCCAGGGTCAACTTGGATAGAGAGGTAAAGATGTACAACACCAAACAGAAAGACCCAGATACCCGATAAAAACTCCTCACCCGACTAAGACAAAGGGAAGAAAGCTGTAATAGAACTCAATATAAACAATTTCAAATGTGGCTCTCTAAATCCACTTACACAATCAGCAAACGTGATTTCCTTCTACATCCAACAGTTCAGGACATAAGAATCTTCATGGTTTTCAAAATTCAAACAATCATCTCAAATTAAACTTCCTTACTCACTCACTCTCTCCCTGTACCATATGATATCAGGTACACACAGCAGTACAGGGAGCAGTTGATGCCACACTAATTGTGTGTCTTGTTTGTTTTAGTAAAGAGATGCACATACTACATACACACAGCTATGACCATTTATTAGTAGAGCTGGAAAAAAGTAAGACAGAAAGACAGACGACAGAAACAACAGGAGGGAAAGTATAGTAGTAGGACATACCACTTGCCCCACTCCAACCACCCGCATTTGTGTGTCTTTCGACACTTCTTTCAGTTTTGTCAAGTTTAAAGGAAATGGTATAGTTTTAACACCCCTATCAGCACTATAGGGTTATTTGAGAGGCGGGACCTCCGAGTTTGACGTCCATCTCCGAAAGAGCCGAACTAAATAGGAAATTCGTGTAAAGTGCCTTATTCCCAAGGTCACAACGTCGGACCGAGCACAGTTTGTCACGCCTAAGCAGCCATAAAATTATACATATTCTCAATTTGGACAGGTCAAACATTGGTCGAAACCATAGTCCCCTGAACATCCATGTCAATAACAAACAACTGAAACGGGTGAAGGAATTTAAATATCTTGGCAGCACTTTTTCTGAAAACGGGTCCATAGACAGAGAAATAGAAATGCGAACTCAAAAAGCCAACGCTGTCACCTACCAGCTCGCACCCCTCCTATCTCATCCAAACATCTCCATGGACACAAAGAGACAGCTTGTCACCTCAATATTCATACCAACAATATGTTATCAGTGCCAGACCTGGACCTTAAGCAAAACCCATGAAAGCAAAATCACTGCATGCGAAATGAAATGTCTCCGCAAAACCCTTAACATCACAAGACGAGACAGGCAGAGAAATGAAGAAGTAAGAGCAGCTATCGGCACTGAGTCCTGCCTGCCTTACATAGAAAGACAGAGGATAAAATGGTTTGGCCACCTGTTACACATGTCATCTGACCAGCCAGGCTCGAGAGCCTTCAACACCAAGCTCTCAGGCTATAAAGGAAGAGGAAGGCCGCGCAAAAGGTGGATCGAGGGTGTCAAAGAAACCCTGAGAAAACATAACATCACAACTGAAAGAGCTGCGGGGCTGGCCTACCATAGAAAACTGTATCTCCCCTCGACGCTTAACGGCAACAGAGGATGAAAAAGTAAAAGTAAAAGTAGTAGTAAACATTGGTAAGGGCGGGACGCCCATCATTTACTACCCTCTTCACAATATAAAACATATTATTGTGACTTATCCTTTCCTTTTTAATTTAATCAAAACGTAGGTGTTTTATGCCCCCATCGACACAATTTACATCATTTGGTAGGCAGACTTTATCCGTGCCTGTCAGGCCCAACTCGGTTGAGAGGGATACAACATCCAGGCAGAAATACCGAGATACTTGAAAAAATTCTTCCGAGTTGGGAATTGAACGGAACTCGGGTCTCCTGCGTGCGACAGACAAGCGTCTAACTGCTACACCACAGATGCCAGTTGTCCTTTCGAGATAGCTGCCAATTTTCATAGGTTTGCAGAAAAAATGGTCTCGCACTAGGAAAACGAGAATCAGTGTGCATATTATGGTAAAGAAGACTAGAAAGCAAGGATGAGCTCTAAGACCATGAGCAGAAACCAAATGTTCTATTTGTGCAATTAAAATCTTAACATTATTCAGAGTCGTTATCAAGATATTCAAAGAGTTGCATTCGAAAAAGCTAGGCTTGTAGTAAAACTCAAAGTCCTTAACGTCAAGTTGATCAAAACTAGGTATTGAGCAGACAGAACATCGTAATTCTAGGAGAGCGTAATATAGATAAAATTTATTCTAAACACATGCACGATCAGGGAGAGACACCCCTTCCCAATTAGAAGGCATCGATAGTGCGTTTGTTTGGTGGCTATCATTTTGACTGTGACCTTCAAAATCAAACCGGTTCATTTTTTCAAGGTCGCGAGTCGAATTTTGATGCTATAACTTTACCAATTTCCATTCAAGTCTGCTCAAAGTGCAAAAGAAAAATACGCGTACACGTATTAAGCTCAGTAGATGGGCCCTATTTCAGACTTCTCAACACGTTACCTTTGCGGAAAAGCTTTGCTGACATGTCCTTAGCCCTCTTGGACTTCATGCTATTGAAGCTGGTTTTCTCCACTATCTCGGCCACGAATTCATCTGTGACGTCAACTTCCAAGAACTGCGCTATGCGTTTGATATTCTCCATGGGTTGAGCTTTGATGTCCTCATATTTCACAAGTAGCACAGGGTGCCTCTCTGGATTCTTGAGCAACTCGTCCCAAGACAGGTAAAAGTCAAAATATGAGCCGTAGTCCACATTTCCCTCAATCCAAAGATCAAAATAGTCGTTGAACTCTCCCGTGTAAGTGTAGAACTCCTCCAGGTTACGAACATGGTTGTAGAACGAGACAACTGTGTCTTTTGGGTTTCTTACGGTGATGACGATTTTTGTTCTGTGCTCTTTAACACCTTTTGGTAGATCGTCATACAGCATGTGAGAATTGAGCACACGTGGTGAAGACAGGGAGTCCAGGATGATGTCTGGGATAGCGTCAATCATTCCACCTAGCCCTTTTCCATATTTGGTGAGCTCCGATTTCCCGTTGACCAACATGTGGAGGATCTCGTGCACCCAGTGGCACCCAGTCTTGGGGTAGCCACCAAGCAATACGTCATCTCGTCTGATACTGACGTCGGGGATCGTCTGGAGTCTCCCTAACCCAAAAGCAGGGAACAATTTTCCGTTGAGCTTGCAAACTGGAAAGGATTTTCCACTCTTATCAGTTATTCTGTGATTACCTTTACTTCCAGTACCAGCGAAATATTTTGCAAATGGCTGCAACATTGGCAGTAGATACAAAATCACTTGATATTTGACCATCTGCTGGTACAAAAAGCTCTTGAACCTTTGCAGAAGACCCATCCTGGCGGAAAAATAGAAAAGGAGAAAATGAATAGAAATTACAAGCAAAAGTTTTAGTTTTAAAATTTACGACATTTGCAACACAATACAATCACGCAAGTGAAGAAAATTAGAAGTGTTACTCGAGAACAACATACAAACAAAAGAAAGACGAGATAAGATAAGATAAGACACATCTTTATTGTCCAGATCCTGGTACACTGGTTTGGTGTTTCACCACGTGCACACACACACACACACACACACACACACACACACGCACGCGCAGGCGTACAATCACATTCATAATAAAAATGAGCAGCAATATAAACAATACTAATCTTAAGCTAGATACATACATACTCAAAGTTATTCTGATGCATGCTCTAAGGTCATATGAATACATGTACTTATACAAGATGGTTAAGATGGAAAAATTTTGAAGGGTGATGGTAAAAATGACCTTCTGTGTCTTTCTTCGTTACAGATCAGAAGCCTAGGTCTTTTACTTCTGACTGAAGTTGTTTTTTTAGGGAACAAGGGATGTTTGTTGTCTAAAAAGATGGAATTAATTTTTTTTAGTGCAAGCTGTTATGTACAAAAACGTCCAAGTAGGGGAATATAGATATATTGAAATTGTTGATTACAGGGATTACACATACATGATATGAAAGAAGTAGTAAACCACAACAGCACATCCGCTAACCACCCACCAAACACGAGTACAAGTGTTCTCAACTGTATAATGGGGATGAGGCAAATATTCAAGCAAGAATTTTCATGAGAATAAAAAGCTTGCTACTCCAAACAACAATTCATTGTTTCATGAAATGAGCTTGGGTGTCCGACCTTAAAAAGAAAGAACCAACTAAAGGCAATATTATATATTATCAGGAGAGTGCAGAAGAATGCCACTACTAGGGATTAACTGCAGTCAAACCAGGAGCCATTTGTTCTTATACCGCACGTCATAAAAAAAAAAATTATGATTCCCCCCTCAGAAATAAAAATGGGACACTGAGACGCTGGGCCTTTAACCCACTGAAAGGGCTCTAAATCTACCACCAGGAATCAATTATGAGCCAATTGAATCCCTTTGGCAAATCTCACTGAACACTGTCCTTGATTGTCCCCCAACAAACACTGAAATCAGAAGTGCCATTAAATGTCCTTCAACAAGGCTTCTGGCCTAGATTCTTTGCTTTCAGTGGAGACCACCTTGTTGATATTCTGTCAAACGTGGGAATGTGGAAGTATTCCAGGACAGACAATTCTGTGACAACCATAGACGCATATCCATCTTGTCCTTAACTGGCAAGATCCTGGCTAGAATTCTTCTCAAACGCCTGTAGAAGCAGATCTCTTCAGATTACGTTTTACCTGAAAGTCAGAGTGGCTTCCGAACTAAAAGGGGTACAGTCGACATGTTTGCAGCCAGGCAGACCCAGGGCAAGTGTAAAGAGCAGAATAAAGCCTTACATTTAACCTTTGTTGATATACAAATGTCTTCGATACCGTGAGCCGATAATGCTTACGGAAAACCCTAGTGAAGTATGGTTGTCCGCCTAAATTTATTACAATGGTTCACCAATTTCATGACAGCATGAAAGCAAATGTCAAGAGCAATGGTGATATGTTTGAAGGATCTTGTTGTTACAACTGGGGTGAAGCAGGCCTGCGTGTTGGCACCAACACTTTTCTGCATCGTGTTATCAGCGATGATGCATGAGGTGTTCCAGAGCTCCCCTTCTGGCATTGATATCAGTTACAGGCTGGATAGCAAAGTCTTTGACTCTCGTAGGATGGAGGCAAAAACAAAAGCTAACATGATTCTGTGGACTGGTATTTGCCGATGACTGAGCATTGCTTGCTCATGAAGAATTCAGCATGCAAAACTGTGTTGATCATTTTTCAAATGTATTGAGAACTTACAATAAACACAGCAAAGACAGGAGTTCTCTTTCATCCTGACCCTGGTGATACGCTACCTAGGCAGCATAATCAAAACTGACGGCGGCACAAAGGAAGACATCATGAACAGACTCGGCAAGGCAATATCTGTACACAGAAGCATGATCAACATCTGGAAGTCAGGACAGTTTAGTACATGTATACAAACTAAGTTAAAGCTGTATAACAGCTATGTACTATTCACACTCCTATATGGAGCTGAATGCTGGAGGATGACTGATCATGACCGTGCCAAGCTATCTTCCTTTCATACAGCCAGCTTACACTAAATACTCAGAATCTTCAGGCCCGACAAGATTTCCAACGCAGATCTGTTACGTAAATGTAAGCAAGAGGACATGACCACCATAATAAAAAGGAGAAGATGGAGATGGATCTGACATGTTCTGAGAAGAGAACCCGACTCCATTGTGAAGACTGCCCTCCACCGGACACCCGAAGGACGTCGAAAAAGGGGCAGACCCAAACTGACCTGGAGACGCAGAGTAGAGTTTGAAATGAAGTCCTGGAATCATTCGTGGTGAACGCTGACCAAGATGGCCCAGAACAGACAGAGCTGGAGATCCTTTGTTGCTGCCCTAAACGCCAGATGGCGTAATGGGTAGTAAGTAAGTACTGGTGATACGCAGACTCTCCCTCTTAAAATCAAAATACATAAAACTACACTGAACAATGTTGAAAGCTTTTAATACTTTGGCAGCACACGATCTTCAAATGCCCGCATCAATGCTGACATAGTTTTACGTATGAATAAAGCTAGTGGATCCTTTGGAAGACTGAGCAAGAGTCTGGGACTGCTGTGGCATTCCCACTGCCTGAAAATATCTCTGAAGGACTTCAACATAAAATCTTCGACACAGGAGAGCCAAGATTCTGACAGATGCAGTAGTGGGGAGCAAATCATATGACACTTCACAAATTTAACAAGAAAAGCTAAAACCAAGAAAAAAGCCCACAAGCTGCGTACACCCACAAGTGGAAGTGGAGCTTTTAAAATTCAAAGCGTGACCATTTTTCTCTGACACAATTGGTCTCATCAGCCCCAGTAGAAGCCACAAGTCATCTATATCCTTTAATCTTTCAAATTCTTCTATTCCGCGGGAGAAATATGCTCCTCTGCGGATGTCTTGGTCAGCGTCAGACATTGATGGGCGAGCTATTATCATTATTATCATTAATAAATTAAAAAGAATACTGACTGAAAGCATACCGTTCAACAGACAGGAGCATGTCTAGTCTAGCACAATTATAACGACACATCAAAGTGAAACATTACATCATTGTCCGCTCAAACTGAGGCTTACTGGTAGAGTACATGTATACAGTTTCGATAACTTAATTTCTTTCGGTTCTTACCGTGTATAAAACAAAACAAACCCAAACAAACAAACACCCTCCCACCAAAAAACAACAACAAATATAATAACAACTAAACAAACCCCAAACAAAAAGAAAAACAAAACAAAGATCGTTAACTCGAACATGGGTTCACATGGCGAGGATGACCAAAAGAAGCTTACATTGCATGTAGTGATTTAGCTAAGCACCTATTATATGTTTACCTACCCTGAAAATCACTTGTTAGATCTCGATATAAACATGCATGCACACACACACAAGCAACTGTCCGGGCCTCAAGACTCAAGTGAACGAATGCTCGCAGTGGGACAAGCATGTGTAAGCCTAACACTAACATGCAACATGTATGAGAGTTGCAACAGACAGCTGAAGAGAGCGATTGCTGGGTCATTAAGTGGGTCGAAAGCGGGGACAGAGGTCACACAGTTAGGCTGAGGCCTAGGCTAGCCTAGGGGGCACACCATCAATAGAGTTACGTCATTTCTCACTTGAGGGTCACGCCGGTGTTTACTTTAACTCTAGGCCAATATAGGCTATCATTTCATCAGATAACGGATGCATCATGTGTATTTGAAAGGATTGTTGTACACTGGCTGACCCCGGCCGGTTTGCATGAAACCGGTCGTTGTGCAAGTGGTTGGATTTTTACTTTATCTTGAAGCGCCTAATGACACCACGGAGTGGGCGCTGAAAGAAGAGGTCAATATCATTTATTTTAGTTTTAGTAGAGGTTTTACGGCGCTCGCAACTGCATAATGTCATATGAGCGCCAGAAGATTAGAGGCGTTACAAGAGAGTAACAAACATAAACAAGAAGAAGAGGAATTAATAGGGACGATAGATGTTTGACAAGAAAGAAGGAGCAAACCACACCAGAGCACCCACCAACCACCCACATCATTTATTTATTACAGGTATTTCTAACAAATTATAGAAGGCATGAAGGCTTAGTTTGTGACCTTTGACCAGTCCCAGCTGTTCAGAGACGCGGTAGCGGCGTGTGAGTGGGCTACAAGCTAAACAAACAAAACTAGATACCACCAGGAATACTGACTGTGCACTCAGGCGGACAGACAAACAGCAACACATGCGGGCAGAAATAGAAGCAGGACCTACCCAACCCCCTAACCCCCCCCCCCCCAAAAATTAAAAAAAAAAAAATTTATTATATAAAATATCCGCCATGATGTTGTTGTACACACAGATACCTTACAAATACAAGTCAATGACTATAGTAAAGAATGCAAGCTCTCAAACTTTTAGTTAGCTTAGCTTAGTAAGAGTATTACGGCGCTCTCAATGGCACGTTATGAGCGCACTTCTAAACTTAGCACAAATTGTTCACAAGTAAAAAAAACCTCTTAGTAGACGGTTCAGCTGGTGCACAGCACAGCTCGATTGTTTGCAGTCATAACAACCATTTTCAAAAACCCAGCATATCCGTCTTGACTATAATAAAACGGTATCGGTATTTATAATTTGTAGCAAGGGGTAGATCTAATTCAATTTCCCCCCCTTCTGTTTGGTGTTTATTTAACGCAAATCGGTTTAAAGGGGGCGGGGTGAGAGGGAGGTTTGTGATAAAAACGTGCATGCGCTTAGAGGTGGGATAGCTTGGAGTTAAGTCTTTTGGGGGCTTCTAAAAAGCCATGTACCCACCATGGCGACTGTACATCATGTATAGGAAGGTGAGGTATCGAAATGGCGATTAGCTGATTCACGGATCGACAGTCGACACATCGGCGGGATAGAAAACCAAACAAACGTTAATGTGGAACCATAAATAATTTGAATTAATTATAAAATCGATACACGACCTTGCTATTTTGAGAGATTCAAAATGATTTATTGATTTGAAAGGCCTTTGGCCCATACATCCACATATTTTAACATATGGTTCGGCAATTACATACATTGGTGCAGCACATTGGATGTTTAACATAAATTGGACATGCACGCCCACATACACGCATGCACGCACGCACACACGCACGTGACGCACACACATACACACTCATACTCACACACATACTTACATACATACATACATACATACATACGTACATACATATACATACATATACATACATACATACATACATACATACATACATACATACATACATACATACATACAAACATAAGATCAAACAGAAATAGAACTTCCACACAGTGCTATGAATGAGGCAGCGAGAAAAATCGGGACATGTTTCACTCTGAGAAGTGATCAGAATACCATTGTCTTTTTCATACACATATACATTTAAAATAGTACCCATTACAGTAGATACAGAGTTACATATGCGAGTGAATACCTTTTCCCTAGGACAGACGTGTCCGTATAACAACATAATTTAGGAATGAGATTAACTTTTTAGAATAGACTTCATCTGAACAGACTAATATGCCATTGAGCTTAGACATTGGCCCTTCCGGTGTCTGAAGTCTGACGCACTCTGGTAAAAGCTGCTCTCGTATTTCATTATATCGTGAACATTAATTTTCTACATGCTTTTCATTACACTGGAGGCAACGATTACTGTCGACAATACCCAACCGGAACAGATTATTTTTCAACGACAAACTGAAAGTTCTGAGTAATGCAAGGATCCTTCTACCTCTTGCAGAGATGGTGAATGAGAGGTACGGTGCAGGGCTTAACGTAGGGTGGAAGTCCAGGTACTCAGGATAAACGCCAGACACCCTAGAACGCCAGTCCTGGTAACTAATATTTATAAGTCTTTCCTTTACTTGAGATAGGAAAATATTTTTATCACCAACATTTTTAAAAATCCACGCATATCCAAACCCTATTGTACATAAAAGTTTCCTCATGTCAGTGGCCCAGCTGTACCGATTATTTTGGTCATGTGCATACGCTTGCAAATAACATTTCTTAGCATACCTATTATTATCCATTACCAGTAATTTATACCAATATTTTATTGCTCGTAGATGATAAGTGGCATACAAATAATGACGTCCACATTCCCCCATTGCCAAAATATTTGCGGACGTTCTACCAATGTTTAGGACGGCCTTGCAGAATTTAACGTGTACCTGCTCTACTTTATCATACTTCTTCACCCCCATACTTCACAATCGTACAAAAGTAATGGCTTAATTTTGATGTCAAAAATGTTGAACAAAGTTTGGACATTCAAGTGCTCATATCTTTTACTTACACATCTCACTCTGGAAGTGAGCCTTGTTGCTTTACAACATAAGTTTTCTATACATTTTGACCATAAAAAGCGGGAAGAAAATATCACTCCTAGGTAGCTTATGTACGTGGTTACGTTTATGCTTTTCTTTTTGTAAAACCATTTTTCAGAGCTCTTTAGCACGCCTCCATTTCTAAAAACAATCATTTTTGTCTTTTCCAAATTTACAGACAGTCCCCATTGGTTACAATACTTCTCCAAACAATTGATCTTCCTTTGCATGTCTACACTATTATCTGAAAATAAGCATATATGTCATCTGCGTACATTAAATTGCGGGTTTGTTCATCATTGCTTAATAGCTCAACTCCTTTAACAACACTGTTTTTCAACATCAATTCAAATTCAGAAACATACATAATTGAACAAAAGTGGGCTAAGAATACATCCTTGACGAACACCAGACTAGCAATTAAAGTATTCCGTATTCATGCTGGCCAGTACGGACAGAGCACATACCTTCCGAGTACATACTTTGTAGTAATATTAACATTTTCCCTCTCAAGCCTCTTTTCCTCAAGACTGCCCACAGTTTTTCATGGGGGACGCAGTCAAATGCTTTGGAAAAATCAACAAAAGGTACACAGAAGCGCCCACGTTTCTTTGAAAGGTACTTTTGGACTATTGATTGAAGCGAGAAGATATGATCGATAGTGCTATAACCTTTACGAAACCCTGCTTGCGATTCTGGAATTACATTGGTCTGCTCGGCCCATTCCGCTAGTCGTGAATGCAATATACTAGACATTATCTTGGATAAGATATTTAGAAGTGCAATGCCCCTGTAGTTGTTTGCATCTGAAGGACTTCCTTTCTTGAGGATAGGATGTATTAGTGCTTGACACCACATTTTTGGGTACTTCCCTGTGTTTAAAATGACATTAAACAAAAAACACAGGTATATTATCAAGGAAGGACATGCATTAGAATAGAATTCAGGACCAATCCCGTCACATCCGCTAGCCTTTCCTTTCTTCCGTTTTCTCAGAACACTTTGAACTCCAGAAGTCGTGATTTCATTATCACACAGGTATAAATTTGTGTCTAAATCCTCATTTGTTAAAACTACTTCATGATCAACTTGTGTCTGTAATAAATCCTCTGATGATTCATTATTTCTGGGATTTAGCAAGTCTTTAAAATGACAATAAAATTGCTCTGGTGCTATTTTGAGAGAGAGAGAGAGAGAGAGAGAGAGAGAGAGAGAGAGAGAGAGAGAGAGACAGACACAGAGAGAGAGAGAGAGAGAGAGAGAGAAGGGGGAGAGACGAGAGAGAGAGACGAGAGAGAGAGAGAGAGAGAGAGAGAGAGAGAGAGAGAGAGAGAGAGAGAAGGAGAGAGAGTCAGAAAGAGATGAAAAGGAGTGAAAGGTAGGGGGGGAGAAGAGGGAGGGAAGGATAGACAGATAGATCGATAGATAGATAGACAGATAGATAGATAGATAAATAGATAGATAGATCTAGGGAGATAGGGACACACACACACATACACACACCCTTCTAAGTTACTAAGGTGGCATATGAGTGGCAGAGGTTTCACCAGTGGGGGAGTTGCGTTTCCTGTTGGAAGGTGAATGAGGCAATCTTCGTTTATTTTTGTTTTGTTTGAGTAAAGAGAAGCACGTCGGCACAATAGTGGTCATTTAGTGCTGGGAAAAAGTAAGACAGACAAAAAGAAACAACAGTGGGAAAGTAAAGAAATGGGTCGTGTCAGTTGAGTCTCCAACCACCTGCTCGATTCAACAGTTTTGAGTTTGAGTTTGAGCAAAAAAAAATCACATCGACACAATAACAGTCATATATAGTGCAAGACAGATAGAAACAACAGAGGGAAAGGAAAGACGTGGAACAACCAGTGGCGCCCTCTAACCACTCGCAATTCAATGTAGGCCTGCATATCATGCATGTATCAATTACTTAAATCTATTTGGGTGTGGAAACTTTTATCACCACGTGAAGTCTACTAACACCGGCTGTGATTAAAATTAATCTGATGCAAAGCGCCGTTTAAAATAAAAAAAAAAAAATAGTAGAGGGTTTTACGGCGCTCGCAACTGCATAAGGTCATATGAGCGCCAAGGGGTGGGTGTCAACAGAGAAGTCTTTACAGGGAATCAGACTTACTCTGCTCACCTCTCTAGCTTTAACAGTTCAAGG